TTAGGTAATATAAGTAAAATAAGTACTATTTTTAGGAACTTAATTGTACCAGCAGAATTATGTCCTTATAAAGACAAAAATAACAGAAGAAATGATGATATGAGGTTAAGGTGCAAAAAAAATAGCTTTTTTTCAGAATCTGAAGGCTTCTTTCTAACAATGGAAGAAAGATATAATTTTATATGTTATTTTAGTTTCAAAAATTAAAAATCCATTAAAAATGAGACTATTGATTCAACTCAAGTTTTCATTCTAAAAATCTGAAATCTATTATATTTAGCAGATTATATCTTTTTAGGTAGACTACAAAGTCTGAGAGAAGTATCTTCCCATAAGAGTGAAAATTTGAAATGGAAGCAATCTGATGATAAAGTCAAGCAAAAAAATGCAAGAACCAAAGCTCTCATTTCCAAATCTTTTCCTAAGCTCTCCATCTCCCCGAAGCGCACTTACAGAGTCAGTCCTCACTACCTGCAGATTAGTGTTTATAAAGGTTTACCACTAAGATTGAGCTCTTCAGTAGGAAGATGTTTTGGGGCTGGAGATTTAGCTCAGCGGCACAGCGCCTGCCTGGCAAGTGCAAGGTCGTGAGTTTGATTCCCGGTACCGGAGAAAAACCAAAAACCAAAAAAAAAAAAAAAAAAGACAGTAGGAAGATGTTTCAAAAATAGAAATCCATTATTTATATTCACTGGCATTTATAAAAGTACTGAGAATAATATGATACATTTTCCACCATGCTTGCTCACCAGTTCTTTCTACTAAAACAAGTACTCTAATCACTTATTTCTTTCATTTTTACCATCCTCCGGTTCCATCCATCTTCAGGTATGAAGAGAGAGCTGAATAGGAATTACTCAGAGTTGGCTGAGTTCGTTCTGGTTGGATTTAAAATCCCCCCAAAGTTAGAGATCCTCTTATTCTTACTATTCTTGGTGATTTACATGTCCATTGTAATGGGAAATGTCAGCATGATAATCGTCATTAAGATGGACTCTAGACTTCAAACACCCATGTATTTCTTCCTTAGAAACTTGTCCTATTTAGATCTCTGCTACTCCACAGTCATTGCACCCAAAACTTTAGCCTGTTTCTTGACCACCGAAAAGAAGATTTCATACAATGGCTGTGCAGCACAGTTTTTCTTCTTCGCCTTGTTTGTCACAACTGAAGGCTTTCTTCTGGCTGTGGTGGCCTTCGATAGATTCTCAGCCATTTGCTACCCTCTCCTTTATCCCGTGCACATGTCCCAGAAAGTTTGCATTCAGCTGGTAGCTGGTTCTTACATTTGTGGATCTATCAATGCTATAGTGCAGACCAGCTTCACTTTCAGTTTACACTTCTGTCAAGAAAATAAACTGGACCACTTCTTCTGTGACGTCCCAGCTCTGATCAAGATCTCCTGTGTTGACACCACTGTAAATGAGAGAGTGCTGTTTATTCTCTCTGCCCTTATCATAATCACCACCACAGCCACCATTCTGGTTTCCTACACATACATCCTCTCCACTGTCCTGAAGATTCCCTCAGCCCAGGGCAGGAGTAGGACCTTCTCCACGTGTGGTTCTCATATGGCAGTAGTGAGTTTATTCTACGGGACTGTATTCTTCATGTATGCTCAGCCCGGGGCCATCTCCTCACCAGAGCAAAGCAAGATTGTCTCTGTGTTCTACACACTTATAATACCAATGTTGAATCCTCTAATATACAGTCTGAGAAACAGAGATGTGAAAAATGCTGTGAAAAATATATTATGTGGGAAATGGTCCTCCAGGTGACATTTATAAAATCATTATAGAGTGGAAAAGTTTGTTTTCTAAGCGTTCTAGTCATTTTTATTCTCCTAAAATTATTGTGACAAAGACAGTTTTCTGTGTAACAACACATACCTTTTTACTTTTTAAAGTAATATTTCTAATAATACAGCACACATATTATTATTTTATTTACCTGGAATATATGACAGGATATGTGTTCTCAATTTGTGATGTGGTAATTATATTTTCATTTTAATTTTGCTTTAAGAGGTAAACATTAGATTTTACTATATAATCATTAAAGTGATGTATCTGCATATATTTTTACAAGGTAGTTTTATCTTGTTTACAAGGTTAAATGCACTGTGTTGATGGCAAAATGGAATGTAGTGGCTACATATGACGCTTCTGAGTTAAAGCTTTGTTTCCCAGATTCAGATTTACGTTCTGGGAACCGTCCTCCACAGAGGTACAACACCAGTTAAAAAGGCACTCCCATAAGACATTGTAGCAGTGTAATTCTGGTTGGTATTATTTCCCCATTTTCCTCTTAATGTAAAATATTACATGTAATATTATATGTATAAACATAAACAGCCTATATCATACACTGTTTTATCACTCCTTTTTAAGTGAGGAAATTGCAGTACCAGGATCCTAAGTAATTTACTTGATCAAGTTGAACTCAGTCTCAGTATGGTTGCATAACTGTATCATCCAGATATATCCTCATACATATTCAAGTGTGCCTATGGAATAGTCTAGAAATATAATCGCACGACTATTCTTAAATGGAGATGTTGGCATAGGATGGGTCATGACCCATCAACAATGAAGGAGCATAATCCTGCTTCCTTCATTGTTGGTGTAAGTACTATCATTCTATTCTCTTTTAACGTTTTAATTTTGGTGTGAAGCAGTAGAAAATGTGTATGTAATTTTATTACTGGTCTTTTAAAGTGTATTACATGTATTTACACACTCAAAATCAGATATCATTAATGTTAACTTTTTTATATTATATTTCAATCTTAGCAGTCAAGGCACATCACTTGCTTTAAAAGTGCTCTCAAAGTGGCAAGCGCGGTTTGGTACATCTACGTCAGATCAGCGCAGAACGCTAGGCTTTTCATTTTCCTTCCTGCCTGTGTTGTTGGTCTCTACTCTCCTGGCAAGGTCCTTTCACTTTCAATGGGGATTAATGACTGAATTTAACCATAAAGGGAAATACTGAACTCTCAAAACTTCATGGCACCTCTATTCTCATTCAGTTTGACACTCACATCTAACTAATTAATATAAAGTGATTCATGTTTGTAATTTTTATTATTACTTTTGGCAGATAAGCCTTGCATATAACTCATGATAGGACTGACGATCAGGCTAAAGCAAAATCAAGAAATTACTGATCTCAGTAATTAATCAGTGGAACTCAAAGTACAATAGAATTCCTAATAAATAATAACATTGTTTTCCATTCAGTTTATTGCAGTGATTATATAGTACATATTTATAAATACTAGATCCTTTGTTTATGTTGCTTTGTTCTATTGATTTACCTATTATGTATAAATTTAATTAACATGCAATAATTATACATACTTATTAGAGTATTTTTAATTTTTTAAAATTGATATACTAAGCGTACATATTTGCAGCGTACAATGTGATGATCATGGCAATCAGCATTTTTTTCATTTTAAGCATTTATCATTTCTTTGTGTTGGGAAACTTTGAACTCCTCTCTTCTAGAGCTTTATAAAATATATAGTCATGTTACATTGCTGCAGAGCATTAGAACTTACTATGTAACTGCACATTGTTACCAAACATTCAAGATCTCCTAACCCCACCCACTACCCATTCAAGCCCACTAGCGACCAATAACATACTAACTTTTTTTGCTTCCACACATGAGTGAAAGCATGTAGGGTTATTCTTCTGGTTTGCTTCATGTAATGCAGTATCCTAAAATTCTATCTGGTTTGCTTCACTTAATACAATATCCTAAAATTCTATCCACATTTCTGTAAAAGACAGGTTTTATTTCTTCTATTTCATTTTCCTTGGATACATCCTGAAGAAAGAGCAGAATCACTGGATAGTTCTATTTTTAGGTTTTTTGAGGCAATCTCATACTGTTTCCACAAAAAATATAATTTATATTCTCATTAAAAGTGTAAGATTTTCCTTCTCTGTATCCTCGCTAGCACTTCTTAGTGTTCATCTTGTTTACTATAGCCCTTCTAACTGGGTGCTTCTTTTCTTATTCTGGTATCACTTGCTTGTATGAAAGAATTTAATGCCTAACAGGCTTACACTTTTTTAAAAACTCTCTTAGGTAGTATGACTCAATACTTTCAAACTTATTTCATATTTTAAAATAATTTGCATTTTAGCAGAATTGCATTTGGTACATATTTAATGTATTTGTAATACATATTTATATGAACAGATTGAGTTCAAGCCATTGATAGCACCCTGGGTTTAATAGTGTGCTATTATTATACACAGATTTTTGAGAAGTCCTCGAATTATTTTAAGATTGAATGAAAACTACTAGTCTGCTAACTTCACTCAGTAACTGTGAGGATTATATAAAATTCCATAAATCAAGCATTTAGCACAAGAAAATATTCAATAAGAGGTAATTCATTCTTGCCACTTTTAAAATCTTTGCACTTGTTCTATCAGTTTCTATATTTGGAAGCCACTTAAATTTACCAAACATACTTCTCTTTATATTTGTTGTAGTTGTGACAAAATAATTTTAGCTTATGTTTGCTAATGAATAACTCTAAGACATAGAAAACATTACAATTACTAGGTGTGCATCTTATATGTTCAAATAATAAACTTTCATTCCATTTTTAGAATTTTTGAATTACATACAAGACTTAAAAACTGACTAATGAAGAGTCAACTTTGAACTTTTTTATCAGCACTTAAAATACTTCCTACATAAGATAGGTACTACATTAAGTACATAGATATTTCTTTAACCCTCAAATCATACTTATGGTGAAGGTGATATTATACTAGGTATATAATTTAAATTGATAAAATTTGCAACATTAAAACCCATCCAGGTAAAAATTATGTGGCAGAAGTTCATGAAAGTTTTGTCCTCTGTGGGTTTTAATATTTTATTGCAAATGAATTTATTATCTCAAATGTTTTCAAAATTTTATTCAACTCCCTCCAGATTCACTAATTTTTGAACTTTTGATATTTCAAAAGTTGAATGTGCTAAAGTATTGTTTTGAATTTTTAGTCATTTATCTGTTATAATAATTTTTGTTGTATATATTCCTGAATGTAAGTCATTTGGTTACATGTTTTCTCACTACACATGCGTTCATTTCCTCACAATATTGATGAGGACATTTTCCTGAATTTCACTTTATTTAGTATCAAATGACACTTGGCTTACTTCTTACACTTTATAGAGCCTGTTTTATTAAAACTGACAGAATTGACCTAAATTTACCTATAATTTTATAGCTGTTCCTGTTATTTTTAATTTTAAAGAGAAAAAATAGCAACAAAGACAAAAACAAAATAACAAAAACAATGAAATGAATTTCAAAACAAGATGGTAGGAAATTAACAATGGTTGTTATATTACATATCATTACCTTCAATGAAGTTGCTTAGATTACCAGATGTAAGTATATAACACTGATTAAACAACTAAGAAATTTTTTTGTACTGGAAATCAAATTCAGGACCTTTCACTTACCAGACAGGCACTTGGGCCACTGAACTATATCCCCAGCCCAGTGAAGCAATTAAAGAGAATAAAAATAATAAAAAATTGTCCTTGTTTTAAACTCAACCCCCTTGCTCTTCCCCATACCCACACAACAGAGATACCTAATTCTTAAATGGGAGAGATATATCTCAAATATATTAACTGTAATGACCTATTATTTTCCTCATTTTCACCCTTTTAATATTGTAGTTCTCTGATCCTTTTTATATATTACTATTATAATAGTGATAATTCTGCTACTTTCATCTTTGAAACACAATATCACTTGGGTTTAAGTACAAAAACATATTCTCCCTTTGTATCTCTTTACTCTCCTTCATTATAATGCAATTTTCCTGATAATTTGATCTCTATACATTTAGAACCACTGAAGACAGTACGATAGCTTTTACTTCAACTGGCAAACAGAATTTAGAAAACTGAGTAATATTCCATTGTATAAAAATACCACAAAAAATCAGCAAAGAAATAATAGAACTGACCAAACTTCTCAACAAATGAACATAGTAAAAGTTTACAGAATGTTCCACCCAACAACATGAGAATACACATTCTTCTCAGCTACACATAGAATGTTCTCTAAAACAGGCCATATACTATCCCATAGAACATGCTTAAGTAAATGCAAAGGAACTGAAATTATCCCATGCATACTATCAGACCATAGTGCAATTAAATTCAAAATTATTGACAAAAAACTGCAAAAAGTTCATAAACAAATGTAAATTAAATAATACCCTCCTAAACAACCAATAGGTCACAGATGAAATTTAAAAAGAAATTAAACAATATCTATAATAAAGGAGAAAGTAGATACAGGAGACTGGAATTTATGGGATGCAGTGAAAGCAGTCCTCAGAGGGAAATTTATAGCAATGAAGTCTCATGTCAGGAAAATAGAATGAGCACAAGTAAACAACCTAATATTGCACCTCAAGCTTGAAGAAAAATAACCACACAGCCCATATGAGGGAGAAAGTTATAAGAATCAGAGCAGAAATTAACACAATGGAAACTAAGAAAACAATACAAAGAATTAATGCATCAAAGAGTTGGCTCTTTAAAAGAATAAATAAAATGGGTAAACCCCTAGCCAATCTTATCAAAAAAGGAAAGAAAAGATTGAAATTCATGCATCAAGGAAAGTGTGAAATCACTACAGATCCCATGGAAATTCAAAAGATCATTAATACCTTCTTCAAAAATCTTTACTCTCACAGGTGGAAAACACAGAAGAAATGGAGAG